CGTTTTTCGAACCGTGAAGCACGCCACCCGACGGAAATCAATGGGTCCTGACCCTACGACAATAATCCTCCCCTTCCAGCGCCCTCAACCTGGGTGATTTTCACCGTGGCCGGGTCGCTCGTGCTTGCGAAAGGCGATGAACTTCTGCAATTGTTACGATATGCAATCAAACCCACCTCGCCCCCCCGAGCCACGCCTGCGGATCCGTATCGTATTTGATGAAGACGAGATGATCGGGCCGGGCAAGGCGGATCTTCTGGAACGGATCGAGCGGTGCGGTTCGATTGCGGCGGCGGGCCGGGAAATGGGCATGAGCTACAAGCGCGCTTGGGAATTGATCGGCACGCTGAACGCGATGTTTCGCGCACCGCTGGTAGAAAGCACCCGAGGCGGGCCGGGCGGCGGCGGTGCGGTGCTGACCGATCTGGGGCGCGAGGTGGTGGCGCAGTATCGCGCGTTCGAGCAAGAGGCCGCCGCCGCAGGCGCGGCGCGTCTGGCGACCCTTGGTGCGATGCTCAGGGATATTCCCGACGGAAAATAACGCTTGACCCTGCAATCCTCGGCTTGCGATATGTTCCAGGTGTTCCGCCTTTGACCTGAGCCATCAGCGTGCGGCGGAACGCGTGCAAAGATGGGGCGGAGTACGGCGTTTCCCGACAATCTGCGCGGCAGGTTTTCGCGAAACGCTTTGGCGAAACATATCATAATCAGGACATGTCATTGATGGTCGGGTCAAGCTTTGCCAAAGTCGTTGCAACGGGTCTCGGCGTGGCGCTGGCCGGTGTTGCGCAAGCCGACGACGTCACCGTTTTTGCCGCGTCCAGCATGACCAATGCCATGGCCCGGATCGAACCCCGGTTCGAGGCTGCGACGGGCCATGACCTGACCGTGTCGCTTGCGGGATCGTCGGCGCTGGCCCGGCAGATCCGGCAGGGCGCACCGGCGGATATCTTCATATCGGCCCATCCCGACTGGATGGACATGCTGGAGGCAGACGGGCTGCTACAGGAGGGCACGCGGTTTGACCTTCTGAGCAATTCCCTCGTGCTGATCGCGGCAGACACAGGGGCAGCCCCTGTCGAGATCGGCCCCGAGATGAATCTTGCGGCGCTTTTGGGCCAGGGGCGGCTGGCCATGGCCCAGGTCGATGCGGTACCCGCGGGGATATATGGCAAGGCGGCGCTGGACACTCTCGGGCAATGGGCCGAGGTCGAAGCGCGGGTTGTGCAAACCAAGAATGTGCGCGCGGCCCTTGCGCTCGTGGCCCTGGGCGAGGCCCCTTACGGCATTGTTTACGCCACCGACGCACAAGCGGAAAAAAACGTGACCGTCGTGGGCCGCTTCCCGCCCGAGACGCATCCACCCATCGTCTACCCGGCTTCCCGCGTCGCGGGCCGCAGCGGGCAGGCCGTGGACGCGTTCCTGTCATACCTCACCGGACCGGCGGCGCGCGCCGCTTTCGAAGCCGAGGGCTTTGTAGTGACGGACAGGTAGCGGCGACATGTCGGATTGGCTTTCCCCGGCTGAATTGGAGGCGGTGCAGCTGTCGCTTCGGGTGGCGTTCTGGGCCACGCTGTTCAGCCTGCCGGTGGGCGTGACGGTGGCCTATGCGCTGGCGCGCTGGCGGTTTCCGGGGCGCGAACTGTTGAACATTGTCGTGCATCTGCCGCTGATCATGCCCCCTGTGGTGACCGGCTACCTGCTTTTGCTGACCTTTGGCACACAGGGGCCGGTGGGAGGTTTTCTGGACCGCACACTTGGCTTTACCTTTGCCTTCAGATGGACCGGGGCGGCGCTGGCCGCTGGGGTCATGGCGTTTCCCTTCATGGTGCGCGCGGTGCGACTGTCGATCGAAGCCGTTGATCCGAAACTGGAGCAGGCCGCGTCCACGCTGGGGGCGTCAAGGGGCTGGATCTTTCTCACGGTCACCCTGCCCCTGATCCTGCCGGGCATCATCGCGGGCACGGTGCTGACCTTTGCCAAGGGCATGGGCGAATTCGGGGCCACCATCACCTTTGTCTCGAACATCCCCGGCCAGACCCAGACGATCCCACTGGCCATTGACCTCGCCTTGGAAACACCGGGCGGAGAAGCGCTGGCGGCCCGGCTCGCAGCCCTGTCCATCGTTCTGGCGGCCACGGCGCTGGCGCTGTCGGAATGGATTTCGCGCCGCGTGGCGGCCCGCGTGGGGGGCACGTGATGCTGGAGGTGTCCCTGCGCCACGCCTTTGCCGGTTTCACGCTGGATGCCCGGTTCAGCGCCCCCGCGGGGGTCACGGTGCTTTTCGGCCGTTCCGGCTCTGGCAAGACGACCATCGTCAACGCGGTGGCGGGCCTGCTGATGCCGGATGAGGGCCGGATCACCTCGGGCGACTGGACCTTGCTGGATACGCAAAACCGCATCCGCCTGAAGCCGCATCGCCGACGGTTGGGCTATATCTTTCAGGAAGGGCGGCTGTTTCCGCATCTGACCGTGCGGCAGAACCTGGCCTATGGCGCGTGGTTCGCCCCGAAAGACGCCCCGCGCGAGGACATGCCGCGCGTGGTCGAGATGCTGGGCATCGGCCCGTTGCTGGATCGCCGCCCCGGCGCGCTGTCGGGTGGCGAAAAGCAACGGGTCGCCATTGGGCGCGCCCTGCTGTCCGCGCCGCGCCTGATCCTTGCCGATGAACCGCTGGCCGCGCTGGACGAGGCGCGCAAATCCGAAATCCTGCCGTATTTCGAACGGTTGCGCGACGAGGTCAGCGTGCCGATCCTGTATGTCAGCCACTCGGCATCCGAAGTGGCGCGTCTGGCGACGACGGTTGTGGCCCTGCGGGACGGGCGCGTGGCGTCTGCCGGTCCGCCCGAACAGGTACTGGGCGATGTCGGGGCGATGGGAACCCGTGGCGCGGCCTCGATCCTGACCGCGCGTGTCGTGGCGCATCATGCCGACGGGATGACAGAGCTGTCCGGTGCCGCCGGAACCCTATGGCTGCCGCGCATCAAGGCCCGCGAAGGGGCCACGATCCGGGTGCGCGTGGTCGCTCAGGATGTGATCCTGTCGCGGGCGCGGCCCGACGGGCTGTCGGCGCTGAACATTCTGACCGGCACCGTGGCCGGGCTGCGCCCCGGTCAGGGACCGGGTGCCATGGTCACGCTGGATGTGGGTGGCGAACGGCTGGTGGCGCGGGTCACCCGGCGCTCTGCCGATGCGATGGGCCTGGCCCCCGGCCAGCCCTGTCACGCCATCATCAAGGCCGTGTCCGTGGCACCGCAAGACGTTGGGCAGACCTTTCAGGATGCCCATGGCTGACAGGGGCAACCGAAAGCGTTTCGCGAAAAATCCGGATCACGGCTTTCCGCGAAACGCTGTTGTCCTGTCAGTCCGCGCCGCGCACCGGGATCGTGGCATCGGGGCTGGGACGGAACACCCGTTGCACCAGCCACACGCCCACCACCGTGCCCACGCCGACAAGGTCCGTCACCAATCCACCCTCGATCATGAACAGCGCCGCAAGGACAAGGCCCGCCCGGATGAACCATGCCGCGCGCCGCCCAAGGAACCAGCCCTGCACACCTCCCGACA